CATAAATAAATAAACAAATAAATGAATAAATAAATGCCATACCTGATGACGTCCATTGCAAGAGATACAAGCCAGGGCTTCCATGACGACTCCTGAAACAATACCATTGAAAACACTAACCAAACAGATTAATATAATAATTGTGACCACACCCATTTATTATTAGCAACTGACAGTGTACGAGAGGACGTGAAATGTGCAGTCCTTCGGCGACAAGCTGCTTAGTATTCAATTCCGAATCTCTATTCCTATTCCTGGTACCAGTCTGAGTCTCAACCACTTGCAATTCTGAGTATGGGATACGGGGATCTGAGGGCGTGGTCAATAGGAAATCATTTTCATATTACCTGAGTGTATTGAGCGAATGACTTTCCCTGTCCTCTGACCTAAATAAGCAGCTGGCTGGCCATCATGAGGCTCCTGCTGTATTGTATTAGTTTGATTGAGAGTAGCTTCATTTCTCTCAACGCTTGGTACAGGAGGAGATGCTAGTATACACGAGCGATATTTGAATATAACGATACATTGCATGATAGCTCTATGTGTGTATTATGTAAAGGAAAGACATAATAAAATAAGAGGCTTCTTACTTAATCAATCTCATCCACAGTATTACAACCCATTTACCAAAGTCTCTATAAATATAATCGCCAAAAAGCTCCAAGACAACTTCTGTATTTTCCATGAGAGCCAGTAACCACAGCAACCGTTGCTGGGGTAATGGCAGCTACAAAACATTACTAAGATTAACTTTAAAAAAATACCTATACTATAGGCTACAGCCCTGAAAAATGGCTCCAAAATCAACCCAAATTTTTATTACATTTTCTGATACATATTAATGCTCTTATGCTATGTAGAAAGTCTGAGCCAATTCCGACTTCAATTTTTCAAGTTATGACCATTAAAAAAAACTCCAAATTTCTGAAATATTTCCTGTACTATAGCCCATGATTTTTTTCCAAAAAATGGCTCCGAAATCACCTCCAATTTTTATTACATTTTCTGATACATATTGATGTCCTTATGCTGTGTAGAAAGTTTGAGCTGATTCTGACTTCAATTATTCAAGTTACGGCCATTTCAAGAAAATGGCAAAAATCTGAAAAATACCCAAGGCTATAGCCCATGGTTTTTTCCAAAAAATGGTTCCGAAATCACCCCCAATTTTTATTACATTTTCTGATACATATTGATGTACTTATGCTGTGTAGAAAGCTTGAGCTCATTCTGACTTCAATTTTTAAAGTTATAATCATTTTTAAAAACTCCAAATTTCTGAAATATTCCCTGTACTGTAACCCATCATGCTTACATAATTTATTTTCGTTGACGAGTGACATCTTTTAGAAATGACATAGTCATTGAGTAATTTGTAAAGATTTGAGATACAGTAACCTGCAAGAAAAAAAATCACAGTAATAATAATAATAATAATAATATTCAACAAAATAATATTAATCATTTATTCAAATCATTCTTGCTAAACCACACCCACACACATCATGCATTATATTGCCTACCAAGCTCTGATAATCGTTGAGCCCCTATTCCTCCTCCACTGAAATATCCTTCAAAAGAATAGAACTCCAAATAAAGAACAGAGGATTATCTTAATGATCTTACCTGGTACTATGTAACTGGCAAACTTCAATATGGATTCTGTCCTAGTTGCAAGTGATGGGTTTTTTATGATGGCATCTTCATATCGTCTCATCAAGTCTTGTAAGGTTTGGAGGAAATTGGCAGAAGAATTAGGAGTAGAATTAGGAACACTCATGTCTGCAGCTCAGAAATACATGCGAGGGTGTGGCTGGTTTCTAAATAACGCCCAGCGCATAGCTGTGAATTCGTGAATTTCGTGTGACCATCTATGGTGTGACCTTTAACAACGCATCTTCTTTGCAAGATAAGACTAAACAAAAGCTTTTAAGCTCGCTTTTAAGACACAAACACAATGAACCCTCACTTAGAGACACTTCCTTCTGATTTCCTTTATCACATTGGGTACAATAAAGAAGACGCAAAAAAACTATTTGGAGATGTAAAGGTAAGCTTACGTGTGTATATATGTATTTATAATTAGCTACTGCAGTACAATACAATATGATAGTGTCTTGTTGTGTTTCTTCTAGTTTGTTGTAATGGGTGGGAGCTCCAAGAGGATGGAGTCTTTTGCTGTGAAGATAGCAAAAGCCATCAATCACCCACAGACTGAGCCAAAGGATTTAGACATGACCAAGACTGACAGGTTCTGCTTTTATAAAATTGGACCAGTCATATCTGTTAATGTACGTGAGACTGTATATGTATACATAGCATTGTCTGTTAGTGTTAATGTGTCTAATTACATGTACATGCATGTTTTAATTAGTATGACATATTAATTGAATTTTTAAATACTGGCTCTCTCTACCTTTAGCATGGTATGGGTGTTCCCTCAATTACCATATTACTTCATGAGATTTTCAAGCTCCTTCATTATGCTGAAGCTGTTGATCCTGTCATCATTAGAATGGGTACCTGTGGTGGACTAGGTACGTAATTACTAATAAGCTTGTACGATTAAGATTTGATGGGGCAGTTTCATTGTACATGTACATGTACATTACTCTAGTGTCTTATTTTAGGTTTGCCTGCTGGTACTCTAGTGATCTCTGATAAAACTGTGAATGGTTACGTTGAAGAAAAACATGAAACGGTTGGTTTAAATAATGCCTATAGCTTGCTGACAGCTAGCATAATTATTATAGTATTCATGCATAATTGCATACCATAGTGTTGTCACATGCTGCAAGTTTAATCATGGATTGAGAATTGTTTGTTATACATACGTGCATCAGCATTTTGATGCTATCATGCAAAATAATCTGTGAATTGTAGAGTATCCTATTGCTACTACAGTATATATATTTTCTCATTGATTATTAAAATTATATTTTTTGGTAGATTATTTTGGGTAAGATAGTTCAAAGACCAGCTGTTATGAGCAAACCTTTGGCAGACGAGATCCTCAAGGCACAAACTGATGCTACCTTTATAACGACACTTGGGACAACTATGTGTACTGATGACTTTTATGAAGGTATTCAACTAGTTCTTCACTTTTAGTTCAACTCTCTTCTTCTCAGGTCAAGGAAGGATTGATGGAGCTTGTTGCGACTACACTAAAGAAGAACAAATTGCTTACTTGAAAGAACTACACCAGAAAGGTGTTTCAAATATTGAAATGGAAGCAACTGCTTTAGCTTCTCTTTGCAACAAGGCTGGATTCAAGTGTGCCATTGTCTGTGTGACATTGCTGAATAGACTTGAAGGAGATCAAGTGGATATACCACCTGATGTTTATGCCTCATATCAGGAACGACCACAAAATTTAGTGTGCGATTACATTCGTGGAAAGCTGGCTGGAAACTATTAGATACAATGTGTGCTATGTAGATATAACTTAGTGTTAGAATAGTTATTATTATTATTAGAAAAGACGTTGCTATCCATCTTTTATTAGTAGAAATTAGAGTTTATATTTATTCCTGTGCTATTTTTGTATCATAGAATTTATTTTTAATTTTTAATGAAAATTGATGTTCATGTAGGCGGGGAGGCTGCCTTAACGAGGGTGTGGCTGATTTTTTTAGAGACTGCTATAGTATAATAATTGAAGAAGTTTGCTGCAATCACAAATCACAATGAATCCTCAATTAGAGACACTTCCCTATGATTTCCTTTATCACATTGGGTACAGTAAAGAGGATGCAAAAAAAATATTTGGAGATGTAAAGGTACATTGAATATTTATAATTAGACTAGCTAGTAGCTACTGTGCTACAATACAAGATACAATGCATACAATATGTTAATTCTGAACCTGTGTTTCTTCCTAGTTTGTTGTAATGGGTGGGAGTTCAAAGAGGATGGTGTCTTTTGCTGAGAAAATAGCAAAAGCCATCAATCACCCACAGACTGAGCTGCAGCATTTGGACATGACCAGGACTGACAGGTTCTGCTTTTACAAAATTGGACCAGTCATATCTGTTAATGTAAGTGAGACTATATTTTATTGTGATATCATTTAAGTGCTCCATTATCCTTTAGCATGGTATGGGTGTTCCCTCAATTACCATATTACTTCATGAGATTCTTAAACTCCTCCATTATGCTGAAGCTGTAGATCCTGTCATCATTAGAATTGGCACCAGTGCTGGATTAGGTTTCATTACATGTACATATACTGGTACATTTTACTCTAATTCATAGGTTTGCCTGCTGGTACTGTAGTAATTACTGATAGGGCTGTGAATGACTACGTTGAAGAACAACACAAAATAGTTAGAGTTATTTTGTGTTCAAAATCAATATTATTTTTGGTAGATTATTTTGGGTAAGAGAGTTCAAAGACCAGCTGTTATGAGCAAACCTTTAGCAGATGAGATCCTCAAGGCACAAACTAATACTACCTTTATAACGACACTTGGGACAACTATGTGTACTGATGACTTTTATGAAGGTTTTCAATGACTCACTTGCTTTTTACCTCTCTCTCTCTTTCAATCCTAGGAAGGACAAATGCAGCTTGTTGTGACTGCACAACAGAAGAAAAACTTGCTTATTTAAAAGAAATACACCAGAAAGGTGTTTCAAACATTGAAATGGAAGCGACTGCTTTAGCTTCTCTTTGCAACAAAGCTGGATTCAAGTGTGCAATAGTCTGTGTGACATTAATTAATAGACTTGAAGGAGATCAAGTGGATATACCACCTGACGTTTATGCCTCATATCAGGAACGACCACAAAATTTAGTGTGTGATTACATTTGTGGAAAGCTGGCTGGAAACTATTAGATACAATGTATATTTAGCTACACCTATGCTGATTATGGTGAAATAACTGAGCTACTCGTTCATAATAAAAGTTGCTATCAAAATTGCTATAATTTTTGTCAACTTCTTAACAAATAAGTCCAAACACTACATAAATACTGTAATAGAATACATTAGTTATGAGTCCTATAACTGTAACCTATTCTGAAGAGAGAGAGAGAGAGAATATCATGAGAAGAAATTGAGGATGCATGTAAGTTCATTATGAGATTGTGGATTTGACTTACCTTTACTAGTTCAGTAGTTCTCATTGGCTCTTAAGGTCTGGAAACTTTGACAAGTCATTTTTATCTGCTCCATATACACGCTTGAGTCTTGCTACTTGATCGTCGTATTCTTTCTTGATGGAACCAGACATTGGGACCTAAGAAAAATACCATAAAATCATAAATATAGTGTCTTTTGTTTTATTATTTTATTCACACATTGGTGTCATACATCTTACATTTCCTTGACTTTTAAATTCTGCCAGTTTATCAAGAAACAGTTTCTTCACAGGCTCTTCTGCACCTTTTCCCTTAGTATAAAGTACAGGAGCGGTACTCAATCCTCTGTAAGAGAGGAGAGAAGGGGAACAAAATCTCCTCAATGCGGCAGCCATTTTGTTTTTTTAGATAAATAACAGCTCGACCACGCCCATCAATTAATAACTTGATAGTTGATTGATTTCTAATGATGCATAAATAAAAATAATAAACTTATCCATCTATGTTGACATTAACATGAAATCCTTTACCAAAATAAACATGTTTTAGCGTAGCCAGACTCTGTTCTAACAGTAACTTGATTTTCTCATGGAGGAGGAGTCTGACTACACCTAGTCCTAATCAGGGAAAGTGAAAAGTGGTTTGAGTGTCAATTCCTTCTTGTCCATTTTACATCGATTTGCTACTTCATACGTGGAAAACTTCTGAACCAAAGCTGAAACTGAAACCTGCTAGCACACAAAACATGCATAAATGCCATAATGACAAAGTTAGCTAACTTAGCTTACATTTACATCCGAAGGCTTTTGCTGCAGTAGTGTCATAGATATTTTTCCTGATCTTTTTACTTTATTGAGAAGTGCAGGGGCGGGCCTCAGTCTTCTGTAAACAAGAAGAGATGGAGAACAAATCTTGCTCCCAAAGGCAGCCATTTTATTAGAAAATCTACCGGATCTCTTCTAATTAAACGACAAGAAAATAACAAAGAAAAATTAAAATTTTAATGTAAGCAAACATACAATGATCATTATTTTTTCCTGTTAATTTTATTTTTGTTGTTTCTTTCTTTTAATGTTCTAGATGGTCCGTTATGAGATTGCAATCATTTTGAAATCATTGCCAAGAGACCAACTAAAGAATGCATTTAGAACTGCAGCAACGACCATATTGAACGAAGGAGCGTTATTGAGACAAATCCAGTACCTTGGACATCGGAAACTACCCTATCGCATGGTAGCACACAAAGCACCATTTGACGAAGGGAGGTGAGTGGGTGGGGGTTTGTAATCATGTGATTATTTATTATTATTTTATTATTATTATAAATATTATTGTTTTAATTATAATAAAAACAAAGACAGATTAGACAGTATTATTGTATCATTATTAATTATTATTATTATTATTATTGTCATGTGATCTTGTAGTTATTTGGTGTGCAATATTGAAGCTGGCCCACATATGGTAAAGACTATTATGGACACACTCAAGAAAACAAAGACTGTTATAAGAGCATCGATGGTTAAAATTTAAAATCATAAACTTTATATTTAATTGTAAATACTTCTCACTAATAACAAACAAACAAACAATATTATTTATAATAATAATAATTATAACGAATTAAAAATTATAGTTATTAATATTTTACATTATTCATTCAGTTGTCCATAATAATAATAATAAATAATAATAATAAATAATAAAATAATTTTAATTCTTGAATAATGGTGGATGAAAGAATGACTGGAGAGAGAATGATTGTCAAACATTATAGTCGATGTATTTTATACTGCACTCTTGTGCTGTCGGCTACTTGAGTATGAGGAACTTTTCCGTAAAGCAGCTGCATGCATTTTATTAAGAAAATCAGGCATTGCTAAGGAGACAGAGAGAGCATTATTCAAAGTACATACATACATGACATTTCTTTGTCATTACCTGATTTGCTGACCCAGTTGAGGGCTGATGAAGGCAGGTAGACACCTGGGTCATCAAAATATGTCAGTTCGTAGCGAAATCCAAGCTACACGTGCATGTATACCATAAATAAAGCAATAATAATATACACACAGGCATCTCACCTCATCCACAGATGAGTAAGGCTTTATAACCATCTCACTGTAATAGCTCTTTACTCTTACGTACTTCCTGCTCTCTGGAGCAGCTGGGTGATCAACCGCTCTGAAATTAGAATTATAATATGTATATTGCTATAGTAACAAAGAGGCATATTCTAAGAGTTGCCAAGGGAATGAAAGACTACCTGCCTCCATCCCTCTCTCTCTCTTACTTGCTAATAATGACAGCTGCATCTTCATTGGGGCTGATCCACGCTCTTCTAACAAATACATACTCCCTACTTGACAATGGAAACTAATGGAAGAAACAAAAAATCATCCACATATTTGTGGCACTGCTCCAATCCCTTACTGGGAATTTCATGATCCAATGAACAACTTCACTACCAGTGTGTGTGTCTGTATCTATTGTATCAAGTTTAATGACATAGGCATCCCATGTCTTTCTTTCTTCATGACCAGCAAGCTAAGCAAATAAATCAAGGAGCTGCTAATATTTCTCCTTCTCTCACTCCATTACTGACCTGTACATCAAGGAAATCTCTAGGAGTAATGTCATCATATGACCCTATCACTTTATACTGCTTCAGACCAGTGTCTTTGTAAAACTTTGAATATACTTTGCATTCGTCTTGCTCCACTACAAATTCCCAGCCATCTTGCACAGGATCAGCAGGCTCTACGGGTACTGCTTCTCTTAGTGACAGTTGCCTGCCATCTGGCTGGTTCTCAGTGGCCCCATTACTAGCTTTATCACTAGTTGAAGGAGCTTTTGCTTTATGCCTCAAGTTCTTAGTCTCATTTGATATGTCAACCATTTTATTGCTACTTTTTTTCTTGGCCTCTCCCGATGAAGCATTTTTAGTGGCTTCCATTGCATCATCAGCAGTAATGGCTGAATGGGAGACAAGTCCACTTCTCTTCTTCTCAGTCTCTGGTTGACTGACTGGAGGAGGATCCTTTTGTACTCTCTCACTGGAAGGGGTGGCAGGCTGAGTGGGAGGAGGTGACTTTGATGCCAAAGAGGAAAGATAATCATAACAATTTGAAAAGAAAGAGCCAGTAGCTTGACCAATCTCACTTAGTTTTTTCCAAACTCCTCCATTAGCATTGTCTCCTTGACCGTCTTTGCTCATTACATCATCTGCAGCAGTTTCGTTATGAGAAGAAGAGGAAGAGCCCTTTGACAAAAAACGTCTTCTTTTGACTTTATCTTCAACACGAGGAGCATTCTTGCTATCCTGGCCATCTTTGCTACTTTTTTTATTACCATGCCTGCCTGTGCTGCAGTTTGACTCAAGCTCCATGAAGACTCCTTGAACATCAATAGTTTGTGATTTAAATGGTTTAGTTTGAGTAGGAGAGGGTTTAATAGTAGAAGGAGGAGGAGGAGGAGAAGTAGAAGAGGATGGGTCTTCAGTATTGTCCTGGATATTGTGCTTATGTTTGTACTTATTGTAACATCTATAGAAAATAGGGTCAATAGCTAATATCAGTATGTAGTACATGTGTAACATTAGATGCATCAAGTGAAGATGATATAATGCATGTGTACAGTACATGTATATAGTCCATTCATGGCAATTATCACTTTTATGATTACAAGATAAACCATCCATGTACAATAGTAAATAATTTTTTATGATCGTAAAAATTTACATGCATTATTATACATGTAAGGACTATTTTTCTTTTTCTCTCACATGCTCTACTTACGCTTCTGCTTGAGAGTTAGATACTCTTTCTCTGTCCCACATAAATACAGCCACAGCATACAGGCAGTATCTGAAATAAGTCAATTGTAGTGCTCTCTCCCAGCCATTCCACCACTTGCCCTTAGAGCCCCTCTCTCTTTCGTCCTCCCTCCATCTAGAGGCACTGACCATACGTTTAACAGTAGTACTTTGAGACCTAGAAAAGGGAAGGGTGACAACAGCTGTGGCTACTTCATAAAATCCACTCACTTTACACTACGTCCTGTGGTTAGTAGTGCTGCCCGTTGAACTAAGAAAAGATTATAGCATTGAAAAGCTAACGTTCTCGAGGATGAAACCTGCATTGCTTTCCCTACTTCTTCGTAGAAACAGAGAAAAATCACTTTAACAGTTGCTTGCTACCTGTCACACAGAAAGCGTGCAAAAAGCTAGCTTGAGGCGTGGCTAGTAGTCTAGCCACACCCACGCATTTAATCAATATTAATTTTAATGAATATTAAATGAGCAGTTTAGTTCTATTGTGTAAAAACAAACATCAATAATAATAATACTCGTTGTTATTATTATTATTAATGCTATTATTAATGAAGTCTAGATAAGTCCTCGATCAATTTCAATATGTCATCAACAGATACATCAACTTCTGTCCCAGTAACATCTGTCGTCTAAAAATATATTTTAAAAATAATTCATTATTATTATCATCATCTCTCTCCTACCTTAATTCCCTGAACAATTTGACTCATCTGTGGTCGAGGTAGCTCAAGAAACTTTTCAACAAGATCCCCATCTATAAAACCAGCAAAAGGTTTGCTACGATGCTCATTTGAAAATGACCTATATCTGTGAAGAGAGAAAGAAAGAGAAGCTAAGAAAAACAACAAAAATGAAGCAAAATTAATTTCAAAGGATACATCTCATGTTCTATGTTCCCAACGCTCTTGATATTGGCGGCCATCTTTTGTTGGAGTTTGGAGAGTAGAGTGTATGTGTCCATATTCAGTGTACCAATGAGGCCAATGGCCCCGTGGACTGTACCAAAGAGGATTGGCTTTCCTTGCAATAGGGAGGAGGCACCAGCTCCAGGGTGATCCATCACAAAAGAGCCTATTAGAAGAGAAAATATAATTTTTGCTACTTAATCTCTGGTATGTCAACTTTGATGTATTTTAAAATAAGAGCCAAAAACAGCAAATTTTTAAAACTATAAGCTACATAAAATATGCTTTTAAAATGTACATAACTCCAGAATTTGGTTTTTTTGGAATCAGTTTAAACTTTTTACATACATGCAACAGTGTATGTGTCTATGCTGTTCCGCTTACCTCTACTGAAGACATTGACGTTGTCACCAAAATACATTCTAGAAGGCTGAACCATGTACAATAGATCTGCTTCACTAGTAGCTTCACTGTGAAAGAGAGTAAAGAGGTAGCGGAGAGTGGAAGGGCTCACGTGTTTTTCTGACATATGAAAATGTGCCTCCCATCAGCTCCTAGGTAATTCTCATCATCAATCATTTCAATGGCAGTACAGAAACAAGGAGAAATGTTATGATCAACACCAATCTAAAAAGAAAGTTAAAAATTCGATAATTATAATAATAATAACCTCTTCAAGGCCTAATTCTTCTTTATAGACAAGTAACTTTAATGATCTCAATATATCACCAACCTAAAATTAATAAATAGGATATTATAATTATATAACTAATAAATTACTAGTATAAAATCTCCTTTTGTCTTGAGGTAGAGAGCCAGTATGTTGTTCTTGTATGCACACTCTTCCTTTAATGCACCATCAACTAGAGCATTAACAAATACCTATTGACAAAGAAGAATAATAGGAAAGGTGGAGATACAGACAATTTAAAAGAGATTGATACAAGTTATTATTCAAACTACGTGTAGAAAGTTTGATTCGATTCTGAATTCAATTTTTAAAGTTATGACCATTTTTAAAAACTTCAAATTTCTGAAAAATACCCAAGGCTTAGCCCATGGTTTTTTCTAAAAAATGGCTCCAAAATCACCCCCAATTTTTCTTACATTTTCTGATGGATATTGATGCCCTTATGATATGTAGAAAGTTTGAGGCAACTGTGACTTCAATTTTTCAAGTTATGACCATTTTTTAAAAACTCCAAATTTCTGAAAAATTCCCTGTACTATAATAGCCCATGGTTTTTTTGAAAAATGGCTCCGAAATCACCCACAATTTTTATTACATTTTTTGATACATATTGATGCCCTTATGCTATGTAAAAAGTCTGAGCCAATTCCAACTTCAATTTTTCAAGTTATGACAATTTTTTAAAAATCCAAATTTCTGAAAAATTCCCTGTACTATAGCCCATGGTTTTTTCTAAAAATGGCTAAAAAATCACCCAAAAGTTTTATTACACTTTCTGATATATATTGACGTTTTTATGCTATATAGAAAGTTTGAGCCAATTCTGACTTTAATTTTTCAAGTCACGACCATTTTAAGAAAACGCAAAAATTCTGAAAAAAAATCCTTGTACTATAGCCCATGGTTTTTTTCTGAAAAATGGCTAAAAAAATCACTCAAAATTTTTATTACATTTTCTGATACATATTGATGTCCTTATGCTGTGTAGAAAGTTTGAGCCAATTCCGACTTTAATTTTTTAAGTTACAACCATTTTAAGAAAAAGCCAAAATTCTGAAAAAATCCCTGTACTATAGCCCATGGTTTTTTCTGAAAAATGGCTAAAAAATCACCCCTAATTTTTATTACATTTTGTGATACATATTGACGTCCTTACGCTATGTAGAAAGTTTGAGCCAATTCCGACTTCAATTTTTCAAGTTATGACCATTTTTTAAAACTTCGAATTTCTGAAAAATTCCCTGTACTATATATATAGCCCATGGTTTTTCAAAAAATGGCTCCAAAAATCATCTACAATTTTATTACATTTTCTGATACATATTGACATCCTTATGCTATGTAGAAAAGAATTAGTTAACTCACTCCGCTATTGACACTGTTGAGTATCTTCCCATTAAATCCCAAGACTTGAAACACAGCACCATTCTCAAGCTTCTCATGCAACAACTCCAGCTTTCCTAAAATCAAAACCAAACCCCAACGTGATATCACTTTCAGACTAAAACAAAACAGCACAGCTCACTAACCGGAGTTTACAGCAAAGACTAGTATTCTCCCAGTGCTGGACTCCTTCTCTTCAGGCTTAACAAGAGCAGTTCCCACAACATAAACACTTCTTTCTTCATCATTTGTTGTCAGATTGCACGAGGTCACACAAAGAATATGCTCCTGTGGGCACAACTGGTAAACATGACTTACTATAAGAGTAAAGAAGACTCTAATAATTCTACTGTTATTTAAAGTGAAAAGGTATGTACCATCGAATGTTGTCTGATCAAAAAGAATAAGAGAGTGCATCTCAACCTGGGGACACTTGAACTCCTCAATATTCAACTGAGGAGGGACAACAGCCACTGACACATTACTGGTCCTTGTACTAACACTATTAAAGAGAGTAAGTGTGTGTCAAAACAATAATAGTAATAATAATGACAAATAAAAACACTGAAATTGAAGACAACATGTAATGTAAATGATTAATAATGAGAAGTGCATATACCTCTGTCTAGAAGGTGTGTATGTATTATCAGGTCCGGATTTGTCTGTCCTATATCCACCAACAAGGAATGTTTGACTGGATTCCTGATAGGCTATGCACCTAAAAAGAGAGAAACAATAATATTAGTAGTAGTAGTAGTAGAGGTTTTAAAGCAATGTAATGCATACCTAGGGGATTCTCCAAGAGGTATAGTCTCAATGTGTAGCATTTGGATCTGATCAACACAACCAAATATCAGTGTACTGCTATCAACTAGTGCCAGACTGGATTCATATGATGAAGAGAAGATTAGTTCAAGTGAATTAAAGTACACATAATATTATTTTACCTATTTTGAAAAGCTTCTGAGTTTAGTGTACAAATGTAATTAACTTCCTAAAAAGGAAAAAAAAGAGAGAGAGAAAGAAAGAAAGAAAGAAAGAATACAGGAAGAAGGACTGAAAACCCTGCGTATGCATGTAATGTGTACATGTACCTTCACATTGACATTTGAAAATAAAAGTTTCTGATTTGAGAAGTGAATTATTGTTGGATGATCAGAACAAGCAAATACACTGGTTACACCATCAGACTTGAACTGTTTGAGAACAATCGGTTTAGTACCCAACACCACTCTCTTACCACCTCGTAACTGACCTACAATACAATCTATAATAAATCCTGTTCACATACTAAATTCTCTCTACACTAATACTCATACTCCCATACTTCATGTTCTCATACCCATACTTCATACTCTCATACTCAAGCTCTCATACTTCATACCAGTCTCAGAATCCATCGTGTAGTAATGCAAGCATCCATCACCTAGTGCACATAAGAGGTAACAGGCTCCACCCAATTCAACCATTAGGACCGATCTTGGGATAATATCTAATAAATGATAAACCACACCCATTGACTCCTCCCACTGTACCTCCCCCAAGTGGTTGGGTAAAGAGGTGCTCAAACTGAGGTACGTTGAGTATCTGAACCGATATGTCAGTCCAGAGGCCAACAGCACAGAGAGAGGAGGTACCAGCCTCAGATAAAGGATTTATATCAAGACAGGCAACTTCGTGTGACATTGTAGTGTGGCTACAAAAAATTATTAGAAAAATTAATAATAAATAAAAATATTTATTATAACAGTTACATGCGAATGTTATCACTGTGTCCTGCTAATTAGACAAGCATTCATCTCAAAAGCATGCTTCAAATTCTATTTTCAAATGTGAATTATAATAGCTACTGGTGCTTTATTAATTCAAAATGGTATGCTTGCATGTAAAAATTGCATACATATAACATGACTTATTTTCACGAGCTAGGAATTATGCAAAAAGATAGTGAAAAGATTAGAAGCAATAAACCCACGTCAAAAATTGTTAATTACAAGTTAACCACACCCACATCCGCTTGCTAATTAACCAATGTAAACACTAAACACTGGAGAAGGAGGATCGATCAGTCATCTGTTTCCATTGGGACTCTAGATTGCATCAGCCCAGAAGCAGCTAAGTCTCGAGAACACAAGCCACCAAGTCCAGTCCTCTCACACAGCGTAAGGTGAACGCCAGGACTTTGTGTTGCCCCAGATTATGATATCACACAAACGCCTTGTAAAAAGAATTGACATTTTTTACAAGCACAGAGCCCGCGCTTTTTAAAGCCCTTAGATACGTTTCCCATTCCTCTAGTTAATGCTAATAAGTCCTTTGCCTACCTTAATGCCAACTGTATCGCTGTATTGATGCAAACTAATTAATGTCCATCTATTTAAATTGGCAATCCATCATTAACACAGATGGTATATACATGTACATCCTTTCAATGGAACATGGTGTCGGACATTGCATTAGACCGATGACTAAGAAAGACTGAGAACTAGATGGGAACTACCATTGCCTTAATAATGAGTTTCTTTTTAACTACATCATTGATTGAAACCTCCCTATTCCCCCCACTTATAAAACAATGATAGACGTAACATAGTATTATATATATATATACATACTTCTCTTCTTCATTTCTAAAATACTGATTTACATAATACTAATACTCAATATTGCTGACAATGCATACAAACCACTGGTATTTACTAGTATCTTGTGATCAGTCCTCTAAAAGTGATTGTAGTAACTGTCCCACTCTATCAGAATTAGTATTTACTACTTGACACAGTACCACTGATCCAATAGTGTATAAGTTTGTAATAATTGTTCATGCATAACCTTAAAATTACTCTATTTCCTTTTTCTTTCCCTCCCTCTCTATTTCTCACAGTAAGTGATCTATTCTCTCATCAAATAGTTGCTCTTCAAAATGGATCTTGATTTTGAAGAAGAAAGTGACAACAGTAGAACATCACTAGGAGGCTATGACTATTTCTTTCTGGAGGAGCCACCCTCGGATGTGGTCTGTCCGATATGTCACCTGGTTGCTAGAGAACCACAGCAGGTCTCATGCTGTGGCAAGATATACTGTCAGAGTTGCTTTAGCGAGCTGGAGTCACAGAGCAAGTGGAGACTCCGCTGTGCCAACTGTCGGGAAGAAGAGCCAGACTCTTTCCCGGACCGTAAAACTGCTGGACAAATAAACTCGCTCAGAGTCGCTTGTCTTAAGAGAGATGATGGCTGTAGCTGGAGGGGAGCTTTGAGAGAGTTAGATACTCACCTCTCCCACTGTGAGTATGCCAACATGACCTGTCCCTTCAGTGTCTTTGGCTGCTCTGTCCGTCCTCTTAGAAAGGATCTAGAGGAGCATGAGAATACTAGCCTACGCCATCACCTCAAGCTAGCTGTGAAACACGTCGGAGAGCTACAGAAGATCATAGAAGAGAATAACGATGAGCAGAAGGAGAGAGCTAGTCATCTCGAGGCTTCTATAAGGGAGCTAAAAGCAGGGCACACAACTCACAAGAAGGAAATCAGGAAACACGTAGAGAAGAAGCTTGAGTCTCAAACGGACTCGGTTCGGTCTAAACTATCATCACTCAAGAACGAAATAATCCTACAAAACTCTAGCCTGCCGCTTGTCTTCAAGCTAAGCAATTTCTTTGACCTAAAAGAGGACGATGAAGACTGGCGGAGTCCGCCATTTTACTCACATCAAGGAGGCTACAAGATGTGTCTCAGAGTGTACACCAATGGCTGCTCTGAAGTGAGGGGCTCGCACATATCGCTCTACGTCTACCTCATGAAGAGCGATCACGACCATAAGCTAGAGTGGCCTTTTCGTGGGACTATACACGTTCAGATACTCAACCAGTTAGAGGACAGCTGCCACTACAGCGAGAAAATAACCTTTAGCAGTCGAGAGATCAAGAATTACAATGGACGCGTCAAAACACAGACAAACATAGGAGTGACAGGGCTGGGTAAGAGCCGGTTCATAGCACAATCAGAGCTTGAGTACTCAAGGAGAGAAGAGGAGGAGGGAGAGGAAGAAGAGGAGGAGGAGGAGGAGAGAGGGAGAGTGTACGCTTGCCAATATCTGAAAGATGACTCCATATATTTTCGTGTCAGTAAAGTCGAAGTAGTTTCGGAGAGCACTCGTCCGTGGCTGGCCCAGGCCATCGAAGACATCACCAATGACTGAAGGAGCTTATGGTATTGACTAATACTCAGATATAGAAACTGATACACACACACACACACACATATACATAATAGAACTATCATTATTTATCGCATAAAAATTTTGTCAGTTAATCTAGAAAGAGAGCCTTGATAATAATAATAATAACAATATTGTTTTTTTAGCAACAGGTCTTATTAACGAAATAAACACACAAAGAGAGATTAATATTATTATTTTTTAGCTATTTTATCCTCATTACATTAAGATTATATAATAATTATTATTATTTATTTAAAAAATCATTTAATTTACCTGATTAGTAGGAGCTCCCCTGGAGAGCCGGGCTTGACCTCAAGGTAGTAAAGGTCACAGCCAACAGCTACCATGACCTGAGAGGAATTACATGCAGCTGTGGATATTCCACGCCCATCAGGAGGTGACCAATCACTAACAAAAGTAGAGAGAAACAATTAGAGATTGTTTGGAAATAATCTCACCAGATCAGCTCCATTGCCTTGTCATCCATTAATCTAACGGATTTGGTAGTTATCTACATGTGTAGTTAAGAGAGGAAGGGCATAGAAAATTAAAATATCATAGAATATCAACAATATGTCAGTCCAGATGATAATAAGGACATCATTCATTTATCCATATGCTACTGTACCTGTATGATAGCATTACCAGTGACATTGGAGCAATAGAAAGTCTGTTGGTCTGTAACAAGAGCAGGCAGCTCTGTCTCTTCTACTTCCTCACCAGCCAGTCTGAGGGCCCTGTAAATAATAATAAGATAAAAGTACATGTACATGTACATAATAATAGTCACTCTCCTTACATTGTCTGTCCAACAAACGTTAAAACGACAGTATCATCAAGTTCATCTTCTCTACCAGCACATTTTAATGACCAAATACCTAAAAGAGAGAGGGAGAGGGAGGGAGGGAAGGAGGGGAGTAGAAGCAGGTGGGGCTTTTATTAGTACCTTTAATGCCAGGGAGGTCAATGGAGGCAGCTTCATTGATGCCAATACCACTTTTAACTATCCTTAAGGCACCATCTTTACCTAGACCAGAACAACAAACTAACTAAGAGAGAGAGAGAGAGAAAGATGAAAGTAAAGAGAGAGGGCATTAATATGTCTTTGACTTACCACATCTCTCCCTTGCTTATCAAGATCAACAACACTCATGTCAAGTATTGGGCCTATATTAGTCATACTCTCCAACACGTCTATATAGCCACCATTTTCAAGAGGACTGCTAGATAACTATAGGAAAGAAAAAGAAGAGAGGAATAAAGCAAAAGAGAGAGAGATGTGTGAAACATATACATGTACATGACAGCACAGAAAGAAAAAATAAGTAGAAATTGAGATAAAATAATAAGTTATTAAAAAAAGAAAGGGATTGTGAGCTTGCCTTTACTAATTGTGAATCTCCCTTGGTGGAACCGACAAAAACAACTCCATTATCCAAATAAGATAAAGTGTGTGGTATACTAATCTAAGATACAAAAGGACACAATATTAGAGAAGTAATACACTGCTACATCATCCATGTACACTAATAGGATTATAGATACATGTACATACACTAATATCACATGTACATACTTCTCCTAATACTTCAAGCTTCATATTAACAATATTGGTCATGCCAGACTCCATCTCTTCACTAAACTCTAGGAACAGCGTCAGTAGTCGTCCACGGAAGTCACCAAGAAGATAGCGAGAATGATCAAGAGGTTCAATACAAGATATAACAGACTCCTAAGGATTATATGGTCACATATTATATACATAATATGGTCCTTAGTGGTCAGATACTGTAAATGTAATGTGGAACTAATTTTCCTAAAACAGTTTATGTTTTCACTTTATGCTATTTTTTATAAATTTAACTCCCCTACTTATCCAGTTTGCATACTGGTCAATTTCATTACGAAGAATTAATTATTTAGTAAGCCACGCCCACTCACCTTAATAACAATCGGATCAACAGTGTGTGATGTATCATTGAAATAAGCGACACTATCGGCTCCAACCACAATGAGCCCGTTATAAGGACTGGGAACCGAACATAATAAACTAGCCTACAAAATGACACAATAACATTATACATGAACAAGTGATAGTCAGACCAGAGTCGCTGTATACTAGGTAAACATAAAAAGGATTAGCATTAGATAATGTTCAGTCTCAGTAAACAGTGTGTTTTAGCTGTTATCATTGATAAAATGACATTCATGTTCTTCCATGTATGTTGTGTAAAAAGTTTGAGCTGATTTTGACAAATATTTTTCGAGTTATTAGCATTTGTAAAAACGAGCCAGTTTTTGAAAAAAAGCCAAGTCAAAGGCCCATGGTTTTTTCAGAAAAATGGCTCCAAAATCACTCCCAATTTTTAATACATTTACTGATGCATATTGATGTACTTATGCTGTGTAGAAAGTTTGAGCTAATTCTGACTTCAATTTTTCAAGTTATGACAATTTAAAAAAAAACTCCGAATTTCTGAAAAATTCCTCGTACTATAGCCCATGGTTTTTTCAGAAAAATGGCTCCGAAATCACCCCTAATTTTTATTACATTTACTGATGCATATTGATGTACTTATGCTGTGTAGAAAGTTTGAGCTGATTCCAGGTTTAATTTTTTGAGTTACGGCTATTTTAAGAAAATGCCGAAATTCTGAAAAATACCCAAGGCTATATAGCCCATGGTTTTTTCTAAAAAATGGCTCCAAAATCACCCTTAATTTTTATTACATTTTCTGATGCATATTGATATACTTATGCTGTGTAGAAAGTTTGAGCTGATTCTGACTTCAATTTTTCAAGTTATGGCCATTTTAAGAAAATGCCGAAATTCTGAAAAATACCCAAGGCTATATATAGCCCATGGTTTTTTTCAAAAAATGGCTCCGAAATCACGCCAAATTTTTATTACATTTTTTGATACACATTGATGTCCTTATCCTGTGTAGAAAGTTTAAAGTGATTCCGACTTCAATTTTTGAAGTTACAGCCATTTTAAGAAAACGTCAAAATTCTGAAAAATACCCAAGGCTATAGCCCATGGTTTTTTCTAAAAAATGGCTCCGAAATCACCCCCAATTTTTATTACATTTACTGATGCATATTGATGTACTTATGCTGTGTAGAAAGTTTGAGCTGATTCCGGCTTTAATTTTTCCAGTTACTGCTATTTTAAGAAAATGCCAAAATTCTGAAAAATACCCAAGGCTATAGCCCATGGTTTTTTCTAAAAAATGGCTCCAAAATCACCCCCAATTTTTATTACATTTTCTGATGCATATTGATGTACTTATGCTGTGTAGAAAGTTTGAGCTGATTCCGGCTTTAATTTTTCCAGTTACTGCTATTTTTTAAAAATGCCAAAATTCTGAAAAATATCCAAGGCTATTAGCCCATGGTTTTTTCTAAAAAATGGCTCCGAAATTACCCCTAATTTTTATTACATTTTCTGATGTATATTGATGTACTTATGCTGTGTAGAAAGTTTGAGCTGATTCCAGCTTCAATTTTTCCAGTTACAACTATTTTAAGAAAATGCCAAAATTAAAAAAATACCCAAGGCTATAGCCCATGGTTTTTTCAGAAAAATGGCTCCGAAATTACCCCTAATTTTTATTACATTTACTGATGCATATTGATGGCCTTATGCTATGTAGAAAGTTTGAGCTGTTTCCGACAAATATTTTTCAAGTTATGGGCATTTTAAAAATGAGCCAAATTAAAAAATAGCATAGGCTATAGTAGAGCCCATGGTTTTTCTAAAAATTATCTTCAATTCACACCTAATTTTTATTACATTTTCTGATAGACTGATACATATTAATGTATTATTTAGAAATTTGCAAAGCTGTTTAATAAATCAGTGTACATAAAAAGGTACATTCATCCTGCAGTGTATAGTCATACAATGGTTAAGGAGCTCACCTGTCCCTCAATGGTATTCGGCTTCCAAGGCCCGGGGAGCAACTCTTTGTCTCTCTGAGATATTACAAAGGTTTTTAAAACTCGTCCAGTAGCAACTGAAGGCTCCTAATAATATTAATAACCATTATACAATGAATAATGTAATGAGCCAACTTCAGAAATGTAAGCGATTGTTGGGTTTTCGGTTCCATGAAGAAACTGGATATCAGTGATGTAAAGATCTTCAAGTCTACATGTACATGGACACATTCATGTGACTATCATGTGACATGAAACAAACCTTATGTTAAAGGCTTTGAGTGGTGAACCAGAGTCAAACTGAAGTGGTACAATTTTGAGCTGGCCAGTATAAAGATGGAGGGCAATTAGCTGACAGCTTGGATCAACCATTGCTACATTCTTACCCAATGTAGGCTTGCCAACACGCTCCTAACAGGAGAGAAGGGATAGGAAGAAGAGATTAATAATATGTGCATGTACAGCTAAACATGTAGGGAAAAGATAGCAAAAGAAAAGTAGTACATAGCAAGAGAGAGAGGGGGGAGAGAGAGAAAGGGGGGAGAGAGAGAGGGGGGGAGAGAGAGAGGGAGAGAGAGAAAGAGAGAGAGAAGAAACCAACCTTAATGTCTCCATAGGCTCTAGTTAAAACATCATTGGCAATAGGATCATAGCCAACAATAGCTACGTGATATCTTGCTGTCAATATAAACAATAAATCCATCCTTTCCCCCTATAAAATATACACATACATGTATAAAGATCATAACAATTAAAAAATGTCCCTGGTTCCCTAGCAAATATGCAAAATACATGTACATGTACATGTGTATGTAATATCACTTTTAAAAGGTTCGTAAGCCCCACCCCTTACTCCTCCTAACTTACTTGAGGTCTAAACAACTGAATGGCTAAAATTCGTCCAAACACATCAACATCAAGAACTGGTTTGAGACCCTCAGACGTAACAAGACTCACGGCAAGATTGCTACCCTTAGCCTGGATCAGGTTGAGGTCATCCGGCCCCGTAAAGTTCCCCGTAACAGAGAGAGGGACAGCAGTTGCCTTGTGGGCAGTGACGATGTAATTATAACTCATGTTCCTCTATTTCTAATTAATGCACAATGCACAGAGAAGAGATGAATAATTTATTATTAAAATGTACAAATTGAATACTAGTATTGCATGATACTCAATAATAACTTACTGTAAACTATATATACCGGTATGGCACCAGTAGTAGAAGAAAGTCAAGTTATCACGAGGTTTTAGTTTGCAGAGTCCAATCGATCCACCTACATGTACTATTGGGTGTGCCTAGGGCGTGGTCATATGATTGTTTTCTAGGGTGGGGCTGGTTGAATGTGCAGCTCCAGGTTGAGATTATGGCAGGAGGCAGAGCGTCCATTTACATCAAAGTGAACAAGTCCTTGGAAATAGTTGATGATGTATACCCGAGCACAAGAGTTGGAGAAGTGATCCAGAGACTCTCGAACACCACTCGTCGCTTCAAGCCTCAGGTACTCCTGGAGGTGTGGAATGGTTGCTCTAGACTCATGAATCAAACTGAGCTTATACTAGACTCCCTTAATAAGTGGGGAGACCAGGCTAGGACCATCACTCTTGTAATGATGGACAGGGATACGTACATTAATGGGTCTACACTAGGTCTAAGAGGAAAGAAGAGGTGCAGAGGTCAAAGGAGACGTTATCTAAGATGGCTGAAGAGTCCTTGCAGGAAGAGACTAGCAGTTAGAATGACACGTAAGCATAGAGTCCTCCTCAAGTTGGAATCGATGTCAAAATTAAAGAGAGAGCTGCTCGAGTGCAAAGAAGAGAAAAGATATCTTGCTGACTTGATAAGGTCTAGCAGTGCAAACCAGTTGAGAAATGAAGAGTCACTCTTATCAAGACTGAGCCCAAGTTTGAAGTCACGCTATGCTGGACTGTCAAATGAAGTTGCACGAGTTTCCCAGTCAAATGAAGAACTTGAAAAGCACAAGAGAGAACTGAATCAAACTCTTGCAAACAGAAAGCAAGAGATACAGTCACTTCAAAGAGCAATAGAAGTAAAACAGAAACAGGTATAGAGTCTATAATGTATGTACAGTACACTATAGAGGATATTGTTTTATAAAAAGCTGTACCATACATTAAATCCTTGCACAATTTGAATTTGCAAGTGATGTACTGCATGTACATTGTGTCATTGCAGTACCAACTTGATGCAATTTCTTTTTTCAGACTAAAACAGTAAAGCAAGAGACGATGAGATTAGCGAGCATGAGAGAGCTAAAGGTGCAACATGATGCCTTGCAAACCAATCTCAAAGCTAAGCAGAAAATCAACCAACTGCAGGAGAACAAGGTTCGTTTCACAATGCTACTAAACCCAGTATTAATTATGTTTTTTTAATAATAGCTTCAAGAACTGACAAGCAAAAAGACGGAGATAGAAAAACAGATACAAGACTGTGTAGAAGAAATACAAAACATAAAAATTGAAGTATAAGTTTAATACAATGACAATCAATTATGTAATAGTTATTAAAATAAAAATCCAAAAGCAAAAAACTCTATTAATTGCGGAAAATGATTATTAATACGAAGGTTCGCCTTATCACGCTTCTCAGCAATATTGTACTGTCAAGCCTTTTAAATTAACATCAATTAAATTACTAATAATTATTAATTAAAAACAACAATACTGATGATAATACATGACGACATGAAAGTATTCTTTTTAGTACCTATACTTAGTAGAATAGTCTTTTGGAGAGACGACAAGACCACGCCCTTTACTAGCACCTCTATACACCGTCTCAACAATGTCAATCATTTCTTGTTCGTCGTCAAGTGCCCAGTTTATCTTGTTATTGTTACCGGTTCCGAGATCAATCATAATGTGCTTGTTACGATAGAAAAACATGACAGTGCACGGGTCGTAGAGTTCGTACATTTTATTAAAGTCTGGTACTTCGGTTATGTCGACAAGGTAGATTGCAACAAAGTTTTTGACTTTCTCTGTTATCTTGTAGAGTATTTCGTCCATTTGCATGCAGGTTGGATCCCAATCATGACCGAATCTAATCACAACTACTCGTTCCTCTTCGGCTAGTATTGCCTGGTCTACTTGCCAGCCATTGTGTAGGTGAGGTAACATGTAAGACATAGTGAGGAGAGGGACGAGCTGTCTTCTTTTTCCCTAAAAAATAGACACAAACAACAACGACAAGCCAACGTTTTAGAATTTGTTAGATACCACGCCTACTACCCCACCCATCAATTAATAAGTCGTCTAGACCACGCCTATCGGTATCCAATGAATAATAATGATTTATCTGATCTATTATTCATTGATGATACCATAATAATCATGAGCCCCGCCCAAACTTTGAAAGTCACATCAGCTCTCACACAACAGCTCATCAATGGATGAAGTTGCAAGCAATGTTTCTGATAGGAAGAGACCAAAAGCTCCGTGGCCTTGGGGGCTTGTTGCTGGAATCTTGCTGGCAGTTTTCATTCTGACAAGTATGGTCACCACACTTTCAGATATTTACAATTCTGTAATCAATGTACTAGGCATTGCTGGTTTATTAGTGGCCATTTTTGGAAAGAAAATCATCCATCCAACCATATCCTTTTATTTTCAAGTAGTTGCAGGTTTTTTTGCTTTCTTTCTTTCCATATCTGAGACTGGACTGCTCGTATCTACTGTAAAATGGGTAGAGTCTGTAAAGCAAGAGCAGGTACTGCTATATTATATATCATTAAAATAATTGAATAGCTATTTTAGGTAAAATTATTGAGATCTTCTGTACTAAGTGCTTCAGGACGACTTCGCTCAATACCTAATACAATACCAGAGCAACCTGTAAGAGATTTCAATGCAGCAAGAATACTTCTAGTGTACATTAGCATAACTGGCCTTAACTTGGGATTGCTTCTTGGTAAGTAGTGTCATTATAATCAAAAATATAGCTGGTTATTTCAATATAGCCTCAAATATTTGTTTTTAAAATTTTCGTTGGAATTAGTTTCATGTTTGACAAAACTTTTGTTAATTTTTTAATTGATGGTAATACATTTAGTGGAATAAACCTTCTTTCTTTTGTGTTAGGTTTGCTCTCATTGAACCTGATGTTTGTTTATGAGAGTCACACTTCACTCCGAGGAGAGCTGTGGCCATTCTTTACTGTTGATGTGACGCTTGGTCTTATTGTCCCTTTGATTATTGGGGTCTCACTAATACCATTAGC